GGGGGGGGGGGGGGGGCGGTGGGGGGGGAGAAATCTCTTTCACACATACAAACACTGGGGCACTTCCAACCAACAAAAATTCAACCTGCCCGCCGAACCAAATATCACCAAACTCGATCTACTGGTGCTACAAACCCCCTTCCATGCAGGCAACCCCTCCCGGCAACCCAACCTCGTTGCCTCGCCCTCACCTTGACACTGTCGTTAATGTTTCGGGGGCGTGGCCGACGATTGTCCGCCCCGATGGAAGCCAAAACAAACACAAAAATCAAGTCACACGACAACGCCCTCGTTGGAGCAATGAAGAGAGAACGGTCGATGCGGGGGGCCCACCCGAGGCATTGCCCGACCCCACAAGCGTGGGTGATGATTCCGCACCACACGACCAGGGATAGAACGCGTGCCCTCACTCATTGAGCTTGCGCGAGGGCTCCTCCCCCCAACCCCTGCACGCACGGTTTGACCAAAAGTTCACGCAGGCACCCACCCACCTCTTGAGCTGGCTGCTAAGGTTAGCCATCCTCTTGGCCCTCTGGTTCGCTGTCTTCCCCTCCTCGGCAACCCTCTTGCTCAGGAGAGCTGTGCGCGACTCCGCCGGCGTTGCCAACGCCGCGTCCTCTGCCCCCCCCCCCTCGCCCCCCTTCTTCTTCTCTGCCCCCACTTTGTCTCCCTCAGGTGCGTCTTTGTCCCTTGAAGAACACGACCGATTTCGAACAGACCGAGCGGTGNGGGGGGGGGGGGGGGGGGGAGTACACGATTAGGCTACAATATCTACTGTAGGTGTTGGCACATGAACCTGGCCCCGAATTCACGTGCGTGATATTATACCAAGGTCCGCCGTGGGACCCGCAACACCAGACGCGATGACTGAATCAGCCGTAACGGTCGGGGGTCGACAAATGGTTTTGCAACGAACAAGTGTTCGTGTACTACGCACACAAACACTTCGGAGGTCGCTGAACGTCTTGCGACTAGGAAAGAATGTGTGCCGATTCCCGTGCCAACGGCGAGCGAGATCGACAGCCTTTCCGGCAAGACACTTGATGCTACTGCTGTTGCCGTCTTACCAGCTAAGCTCCTGCTGAGCTCTTCCTAGTTCCTCTTCTCCCCTACAACTACACCCAGGCGAAAACCTCGAATACTCGCGGCCACAAGCAACGCCCAAAGTAAGCGGCACGGCTGGTGTGTTGCTCGGCTCTTGCATCTTCCCGCCAAGAACTCAGACACAAAAACGGTGCGTCCCAGGAAGCTGTTGAATGCTGTCGTTGTTAACTTCACACTGAAAAGTGTTCCAATTTCGATGCCCAGCACCCTCGTCTGTCCGTACTGGCGCGGTCGATTCCCGTGGTCACAGGCTAACATGCACACCGTGAAAAATACGGTACGCAAGCGATACGCGGAATCTGCCCATACCTCGGCTCTGTGCTGGACGCTTGCAGGACGTAGCCGGACCGGCTGCGACCTTGCGAGGGCGTGGTCGGGCGAGTAGACCATGTGGACGACGATGCCTGTCGTGCGGACAAACGCGTACGCAAGAAAGCCGGCGCGGTCGCGATGAACAACAGGTCAAGCGTCGAACCCCCATGTCGAGTCATTTCCCGTGCCCCATTCTTTGCTGCCGGCCGCGGCGACTATGGGTAGGGTGAGGGGTTGTCTCGAAGGCGGCCTCCAAGATCGAAGGGCAAAATTAGGAGTACAACGTGTCATCGAAGCGACTCTAGCTTTTTCATTCTTGGCTAGCTAGGGAAGCATAATGATGTCACATTTGTTTTCTAGGCAACGGTAGTATTGCACCACATTGTCGTGAACGCATACTGTAGGTAGGATTGAAGGTGGTGAAATCTTGGATTCACCCCTCAATGCTGCCCCCAGCGATGATCCAAATTGTGTGCATACGACGATAGCAGCTGAGCACAGCACTGCAGCGATGATGTAAATCGTTAGGAGTAGCAGCTAACACAGGAGGCACCCGTGCTCTGCGTCCGAATATGACGGAAGCAACCCCCTCACGGCAACGGGTTTGAAGTTGCCGCCGACTAGTGGGAGGAAGCACGGGCGAGCCCTTCGGAACTGCGGTCCACCTCCACAGAGCAAACAGAGCACTCTAAAACAGGCTGCTTGCATCGATATCGACGTGTAGAGGACATGTCAGATATTCTGAACGGAATTGGAAGAGTGTTGGATTTCACCGAAAACGTGTAGAGCCGGAACTGAGGAGGCCATGACCGCTCATTTCCCAAAGAGGAAAAGTGACTCTGCTACAACTCTGTCTCGTGACGACGGCTGTGATGGGGCAAAGGAATAGCTTCTTTGGGACCTGCAGCGAAGGTGAGCGCCAAAAAATTACTGCAGAATATGCATGGACTGCTGTGCATGTGTATTGAGAGGTGTGACTTGAGTGTCCGGTATTCAACGTATTGGCTGGTCAAGAGCTTCCAAGCTCCTAGCGTAGCATGTTGGCCATAGCGAGTTTTCGCTAGCCAAACTCTCCTGTCGCTTGTACAGCTGGCTCTGTGTCTGTTGGTGTCCATGTCTACGTGCCTGTCTTGTCATCTCTGTCTAGCTAGCTGTCTGCCTGGCCCCTAGCTTTCTCTCTCTCTCTCTCTCTCTCTCTCTCTCTCTCTCTCTCTCT